CTGGGGCCGAATCCCCAGGAATTCACAGATGACACTTTCTTCTACCTAGAAATTATAGATTTGCACACATGTAAAATAATATCATTTCTCATTTTTTTTGTTTTGAAAACTAGTTATTGGTCATAAAGTACATTACTTATGTTAACATGTTGTAGCGGCAGGATAGGCATAGGGCAGGATCTCTTTGATCGGAGCAGACGGGGTAAAGAAGGAGAGAGTCTTGGAGCCCTTCGTGGCTTTTTCAGGGTTTTATTGGGTTTCCCAGGTACAGGGCAGGCAGGGCTGCCGGGGTGCTGGGAGGCTGAAGGACTCCCAGCCCCCGGCAAGTCTTTCCTCTTTCTGGGCTCTCCGGCGTTCTCTCACGGCCTCTACTTCTCTGCTGGTTCTGCTCTTGTCTGTTCTTCTTCTGGTGTTCTCTTTTGCTCTGCTCTGGTGGTTCGTCCTCTGGCATCCCCATGATGCCACCCTTATAAGCTCAGTCTCTCACCCAGATGTACCCACCTACATATGCCCACACCCTACTCCAGGTGCCCGCCATCAGGCATGCATTCAGGACCGCAGGGATCCCTCATTAATCTTAATGGCGGAAGGGCAGAAAAGCCTGACAAACATTTACCTTCCCCTACACATGTATTTGGCTCTTTATTGTTACTTTTAGATGATATAATGTGGACTTTTTTTTAAAGATTTATTTATTTATTTATTTATTTATACAAGCACTGGGTACAGTCAGAAGCGCAGGAGGGTGAGAGAATTCACCAGAGCCAGAGCAGGGAACAAAACAGGCAAAAGGACTGAAGTACACTGCTGAGGGGAGCAGCGGGCATGGCAGGAGAGGTCTGTCGCTCCACATGGGACCCTCGTCGGTAGCCGGGGATTGAACCGGTACTGCAGAGGCTGTGGGCAGCTTCGCAGCCCAGCACTCAACCACTGCGCCACCAGGGGAGGCCAGATATAATGTGGACTTAAAAACTTTTCCTCAGTTTACATTGCAAATACAGTACATATTGAAGGTGAAATCCCAATAAACAAAAGGTCTTTTGTGTCCTCCAAATTTTGAAGAGTATGAAGGGGCCTTGAAAACAAAGAGCTTGAGAAACACAGTCTTGAGAATTTTATCTTTCAATGTCTTGTAAACTTGTTTTTTTCTATCCCTTTAGCAATGTGTCTCTTATGCCTATTAGAGTAAAGGGAACATTTACATAGGGGTTGGAACCTGGTGCAACATTACATATACATAATATTTGGAAAGAAAATAGTTAAAAAAAATACTCTTGCCAATTGCAGTCTATGCTTTACAGGTTTTTCTCTGTAAGTCATTTCTATTAACTGTGCTTTGCTATAGATGTTTATAACAAAACATTAAAGACTGGGTAGAAAGGAGAAAACAAATTACTCTGCAAAGAACCCAGCAACTCTGCTAAAATACTGTCAGTTATTTATCTACTGTCAGCAGAGGTTGCACACTATAATCCTTGACAAGCTCAGATTCAGAAAGAATGAAGAGAGGGGGCAAGCATTGCATTTAAGGGCCTGTTCTCATGCACAGACATTTTAACACAGATTTAAAGCCAGAATGTATCTTCTAGAAAATGTCACTTTTGATTTTGATACATCTCCTAGCAAGTAGGCTCTACATTTGGTTGACTTAGTACGAGATATGTTAGAGGCTAACACTATATTTTAGACCATTCATGATCCCAGCATGGAACTAACACAATGAGGTCAGCATCACTTCATTTTTAGAGTTGGCTACCGCAACTGCATGATTTCATGGGCATATTTTTTATGATAAAGAGAAGGGATTTATTTTTGTTTTGTTAGGCAAAGTAATGACAGACTCTAAGAACCCTTTTGCCCTCGCCAACGTCCATGTCTTCCCTGTGTTTCCAGAGAAGCAACAACCAATGCTTTCTCCTGTCCTGAAATACCTTCCCTCTGGAAACACACATGGTCAAGGCAAAAATGCAATAAACTGAAGAGCACCTACAGGCTACACTAAGGAAAACTCCTTTCGAGCAGGTAGGTTAAGTAGAGCATAATGCTGATGAAAACATGGGGAGCTCGAGGTTGGTGGGGGCTCAAACTAAGAGGCTCGAATAAGTAACACCACTCTAGTCCTTTCTAGTAGAAACCATGGTTTCCTTTAAGATGCGATTCGTATTGACCGGTCAATTACAGGATTTCCAGCCATGCGATCAGAGGCCCAAGTACATGTGTGCTTGTAACCGGGGATGTTTGATGAATGCTGAACTAGAATCTTAATTTTCTAATTCATATTCACCAATTAAAAATAAACTGTATTTTTATGAGCAAATTTACATAAATCAGATGATAAAGCATCTACCACTAAAGGGTAGGAGTTCAGCTCACAACATTTGCATATATTCTCCTAAAGAAAATATAGGCGTTTTAGATTTTCATTGAAGAGTCTTGCTGCGTTGGAACTCTAATGGGCTTAGAACAGTAAATTTTGAAGAAACTGATTGCTACCCCTGTAGCTAGTAAATGTCTGCCTAGACCCAGTGGCATTTGAAAAAAGTGTTTTATCATAAAATTATCCCAGCAGAGTCCATTCTGCAAGATAACATCATCATCATCATCATCAGTACTCCATGCAGGACCCAACAGCTCTGGCACAATATTGCCAGTCATTTATCTGTTGTCAGCACAGGTTACACACTGTAATCCTTGACTGCCTCGGAATTAGAATGTCTTTGATGTCCCCACAAGAGTTTTTTGCCCGAAGGCTTTACCAATGCTCGGCGGCTCAGTGTTTATTCCTCGTAATCTTCCTCTCATCTCCAGGCTAGCAGTGACAGATGGTTATGGGCACACAATAGTATTAAGAGTTTGATATTTTTTTTTATGCTGTGCTCTCTGTACAACAAATAGCTATCAGACGCGGGCCAGAGAGCTGACATGGCTCGCTTAGGTAATGGCAAACAAACAGCTCGGGTTGATGCTTTCTGTCATTTCCCCTCCTAACCCTGCTTGTTTTCATTGTATACTCTCAAAGGTAAACTATATTAACCTTATAGACTGTTATTAAAAAGATATATCTATATGAGCATAAAGTGCTTTTCTTTTCTCTTTTTCTTACTCTTTTGATTATGAAAGTAATACTGCTGACATATTGAACAAATATCGAATGTCAACATAAATTTTTAGTGTGTGATAATATCCCCCTTCATATAGCTGTGTGTCAGGCGGGAACCCGCGGATGATGCATAGCAGTAAATAACCCAAACAAAATTAGTTCTCTTGTCAGCTTCTACCTTGTATGTCCCCAGGCATCAGTAAAATTGACTGCACGCTAGATTTTCAAAATTAGCCCTAATGTTAGCTATGTGTCTGGCAACCTCCAAGTTTCCAATGTTCTACTATATTACCCGTAAGGATGAATGTGTTACTTTTATATTTTGGCATTTACTCTTGCTGATGCGGCTTTTTTCCCTCTTCTCCAAATTAAAAATAATTTAGCTTTAACAATAAGAATGTGCACAAACATAATGTTGCATCTCTTTAAGCAACTAACTTTAGGCAATTAAATTAAATTAAAGCAAAAATATACAAAGGAAGAGAGGGAATTATTCAACTTAATATTGCTAATTTTATTAACATAGCTCTGTCTTATTTTGTGCAAAGTACTAGATAACATGGTTCTCACTCTTCCCCCATAACAGTATGCTGTTTTGTAATAGGAGTGTACAAAATTATTTAATTCAGCATTTTTAAGATAACCCACAACCAAACTTTTAAGAACTGATTTTCTTGCAATACATATTTCTTCAGAAACCAGCAAAGACTGGCAGAACAGAAGGGATAAATGATGACATCTATTTTACCTTGAAACAGGTTATCTCATCTAGAGCCGCTGCATTTTAAAATAACATAAAAGAATACCAAACACCATCTCATTCGAAGAAAAAAAAAAGTTACTCCCTTAGAAAGGCTATGCTGGAAATCTGAACTTGAAAAGATAAATCCAAAAAACACATTCCATATCAACTCCAGTCACTAAATTTTATGTTCATACATTTAGAGTCAAAGATGAAAATCCCTTTAGATACCAGATGCTGCAGATCAACTGGGAGAGCTTCTGGAGTTTTAATGTGCTGGAAGTCAAATCCTCGGCAAAGGTGCTTTGCCTGGTCGGTGTGCCGTACTTACTACTTCACCTGTAAACAGTGGCTTTCAGAAAATCAGACCTAATGATCAGCCCAGCATCTTTGCAATAAAAAGACTATAATCTGTGGGAAAGTGAACTCTAATCAGGCCACATGCAGATTAAACTAACTGGGAGGAATAAAAACTAGATTTAAATGTTCATGCCTAATACCGTAAGATTATCAGAACATTTTACCTCCTTAAATCCTAATTTATAGGAGCCAGAGTTAAGTTTGTAAGTTTATATTTGGTGCGATTACATCCTGCCATTGATTTTCCTCTGTCCTGAAAAGATTCTGCCAGAGAGCATTTTGCTTAGCACAACGTAGACACATTTAAGAAAAAGGAGACAGTTTCAGATGCATTGATATATGTTATGACAAATGAAATAACATTGACCCAGCTGAAACTGGTCAATTTATTAAATACTGGAAACTGGTTTTGTTTTCATTGTAGTACTGTTTTAGCAATGCACACATGTGAAATCGTTTTATAAGAGTATATATAAAAATATGGATTCCTTCTCTTACACTTTGAAACTTCTTGAATAACATTTGATTACCTAGAATTGCCTAGTTACTACTGTTAATTGTGTAGAACAATGCAAATAATTATCTGTAACTTAAATTTAATCAAGTACACATCCTTTCATAGAAAAATATTGTGCAATACCCCTGTGGCACCATAGTAGTGGTCCTACCATATTAAGATGATGATCTTTTTCTAAAGCTACAGACACAACAAATTACTGTCCATTGTATATATTTTCATAATATATATTTTCTCTTACCAGTTCTACAATATATTAAATTGGCATGTCTTAAACTTACCACCTGTGAGGCCAGACAAGGTGCAGTGGTCTTTGCTGATCATCAGCTCCACCCAAAACATCACGGGGATTAACAGCCAAATTTAGCTTATTTTCCCCACGATGAGAGCTTGAATGATCTGCCGAGTTGCATACTTTCAAGTCTGACTTCTGCATTAATGAGCTACCCAGGTTTTCTTGCAGTGCAGCATTGCAAGGTCCAGATTGTAAGACAGAATTCTTTAAAACATCCTCAGAACTTCTCTGCTCTTGTTGGAAAGGAAGAGCCATGGATCGAGGCGCACCACCATTTCCTTTGAGGCTGAGCATCTTCTGCAAATGGGCTGTTTTGTGCTGGGGCATGAATCTGTCACGGAAAGGAAATGCAATATACTTTCATGAAAATTATATTTAAAATTTGTCCTTTATCCTTCCATGAGGACATGATGATATAGAAAATGGAAAAAAAAATAAAGACCTAACAAAAAATCTAGAAAAAGTAAAAAGTAGTAGCCATCAAGAGAAGGTTCAAAAGTTTGAAACAGATCGGACTGTCTTTGGATGGTTTCCAAAGAGTTTCTGTAGCTATAAAATGTGTGCTGCATATACCATAAAAAAAAAAAAAAACTCTTCCCACTCATCTTCCTGTAGCTCCACTTTGCATTTTCTAGTTACCACTAGGCCCATTGCTAATTATCAAGTCACACTTGTCATTAAGCTACAAAAATGCTTGAAACTTCCTTTCTTAACACTGGCCAGTTCTGTTCACATGATGGCTCTGTATTTCTGGGCACCTGTACCCACTTTTTTTTTCTTGAAGTATATTTTTATATTTTCTCACTGCCATTTCTCCCTGCTTTTCCCATAATGCTTCATCATATAGGGTTCAATATCTGTTTCTTATTAGCAGAAGTATCTAAATAAGACGAAGTAAAGGAGCTCACCATTTGCTAGGGAACAAACCAGTAGTGCTTAGAACAGACAGAGGGGGACCTGTGAGCAACCAGCTAACCTGTGGTGGGACACAGGATATAAAGAATGGACATTCCAACTTTTATAACTGAGAAGTCGAGATGAACTCTGATTTGGGGATGAGCAAAAGTTTAAAGGGGGTTTTGGCTGAAGGAGTTTTAAAAAGCAGAGAGGGGGTAGTTGTGGACTAAGGACACAGTGTCATCAAAAGAAAGGGTGTGAAAGAGCATGAACTCTTCTGGGAATAACGTGCAAGCTGAAGAGGCTCGGCCAAGTCCTGGGCCAGAGCTCTAGAGAGGTCGACAGGGACAGACACCTAGCGCTCTCTTAGAGTTCCTGTGGCCCATTTAGAGATTCGGCTTCTTCCCTAAATTATTTATTGAGTGAAAAAGAGAAATGGAAAGTACATGCATTTAAGAGGTAGTTTAGGAGGAAGGGCTATGGAAGAAGAGGAGCAATTGGGAACATTTGGAAGAGTGGAAAGAGAATCTGAGACAGTAATTTGACATGACTGAAATGAATTAAGAGCCCCAAAAGGACTTGTAAAAGAGAACCAAGAGCCCTTAAAAATGTGTAAAATAGAACGTCAAACACTGCAGAGGTGGTAAAGCACCAGAAACAACCAGAAGCTTTTGACCTAGTTATACAAAAGATGATTGGTTCCCCCAAGGGCCGTTTCTGTAGAGGGGTGGAGGCAGAAACTAGACATCAGGTTAGGGTGCAGGCATGAAAGAGAGGGAGACAGAGGCAGAGAGTAGAGAGAAGAGTAGGCAAAGCAAGACCAAATTCTTTTTAATGGGGTACATGTTCACAGAGTATTCACTTGAGTGTTGCCTTGGGGACACTTGATAGAGAAGGGACCAGGATCCAGAAGAAACAAGAGTGTCAATATGTGATAATAGAAGGCTTCTTAGTTAGAAGCAAAGCAGGGCCTTAAACAAGAGAATATACTGAGCTCTCTTACAAAGCTGAGGTAAGAAGATGAAAATGAAGTCGAAGAAAACAGTTTTAGGTGGCAAGTGTGGAATCTAAGGTGAATCACAAAAGCGTTAGGTCAGGGAGGTGGAGACTGAGTTTAAAAAGTGGGCTGAGAGATCGGAAGAGTCACTGTGGAGAGTGGCAGAGGCTGTTCATTGAGGCTGAAGGCAAGAGCTGATGAGCAGCACTTGGTTGCTGAGAAGCTTCCAGAGAGTGGGAGACAAAGCCTGGCTATAAATGTGTGTACATTCCAAAATCAAAGGGTTATTGGGGGACTTCTGTGCTTGCTTCATAAAGCCCTTTGAGAAAAATCCCTGAATGGATAAGACCCTGTTTGCAAGCAATAAGATTGTGTATAGAAAGATAAAACATGAAGGATGGGGCTGATTCCCTTGTTGTGCTCCAGTATAAATAATAAATTAATTATCAACAGGGGACTGTGGTGATGGTGCACGGGTGCATTGGTGAGGGAAATTCTATGGGGACTACACCTGGGGGCGAGAGGGGGAAGTAAACATTGTTTAAAAATGAACAATGAGGTAAAAAATAAATTTTAAATAAGAAAAAAAAAGAGGGCCTCCTGGGTGGCACAGTGGTTGAGCGCTGGGCTGCGAAGCTGCCCACAGCCTCTGCAGCGCCGGTTCAATCCCCGGCCACCAGTGAGGGTCCCACATCACGCGGCGGACCTCTCCTGCGGGCCCACTACTCCCCTCAGCAGTGTCTTCCATCTGTCTGCCTGTTCTGCTCCCCACTCTGGCTCTGGTGAATTCTCTCATCCTCCCGTGCTGCTGACTGTACCCTGTGCTTGTATAAATAAATAAATAAATCTTTAAAATAAAAAAAAAAAAAAAGAAAAGAACAGAAAAGAAAATGTAAAGAAATTTGGGCATACACAGATTATAATTTCAGATCTGACAGATCCAAACTTATTAAGGGAACTAACCAACTTTCTTCCTGAAAGAAATTTAAACACTGAGGAGGTAGATTCTAAGGAAATAACAAAGTTCTCATTGGTCCACAGAAAAGATGGGAAAAAATAACAATGACAGTATCTTCAACCTCTCCTAAATAATCAGAACAAATGGTTAAGAGAAGGGACATCTGTATATATCCAGAAAACAACAATAAAGAAAGTGAAGGAACCTATCTGTTTATGTCAAATAAAGAAATCAGGCACTCTTAAAAAGGATTCTAACAGAATTACAAACTTAGTGCACGAAGGAGTCACAGTAATAATAATAAAAAATCAATGGGCATTGAAACAACATATCTTCATTTTAGAAAATAGTATCATGACCCATCTTACTCATAAAATCCATTTATGTTGTTCAGCATGTGAGCAAAACTGCAAATTAAAAGAGATGGGAGATTGGCTACAGGGTTGTAAACAATGGGAATTGGTAACTGACAAGGAATTTAGCTGTGGGCAAGGTGCTAGGCCTGCATTTACTCGACATGTTTCTTAGATGGGCTCAAGGAAGAACAGAATCCCATGTTAAGAGAGGTTGTGGATGACTGACTTGACAGTGGTGGAGAAGGACAGTAAAGGTCTCAGGATATAAATATGGACAGTCACCCAAAATTCATTTTATAAAAGTTATGAAATTAAAAAAAATTAAAATCAACCTTGAACGCAAAGTTAGGACACATGGAAAACACTATTTAGATGTTTCTGAGTTTGACAAGTGAGTAGGTGCTGATTTGATCACACAGACTGATGCCACTTTGTTAGAATTGTGTTGTTTGGGGAAGGAAGATACCAGTCTGTGGGAATAGAAGACTGTGTGAATGCTGATTTCATCTGGGGCACCTGATCATTGTATATGTTTGAAAATTATGATTTTTCAAAATAATAATAATTTTCAAAATAATAACAATTAAGGCAATAGAAGAACTGATTGGTGAGGACAGATTAAAGGAGCTCAATATGAATAGTCTGGTTAAGTGACAACTAGAGGGGTACATAATAGGAGTCTCGATGGAAAGAGAATAATTATTTAGCCTGGTACGAGGGGGTAGAGCTGAGAGTAGTGAGATGAAATTAAGAATAGGAAAATTTAAGCTGAATTTCAAGAAAAACTCCCGGGCGGTATAATTTATTAGCTAATAGAATAAATTCCCTATGGAAATGTGATATCTAGGGAGGTATACTTTATAATAGAACTGGACAAAATACCAATGAAAATGTATATAGGTAATAATTCAGGACTTGAAAGATGATGGTTACATACTACACTTGCCTTGTTCACAATATATTTTTTTCTTTAATAGTTCATATATGGTGATTGCTACACAGAGTGTTCAAGCAATTAGCTAAATCTAAAAGGAAATGCATCCTTTCGGTAAGAGAAGTTAAAATCACCTTAGTTTTCACATACTCTGCAGCAGTAAGCAAAAATAATTTTGTATGACTTTGTTTCACAAGAGATGGTCATATGTATTAATACTTCTAAAAAGCAAAACCAAACATAACAAAACAATCTTCATCTACCATCCCACACAGAGTCTATTCTGATTCTCTGTGCCATGAAACTCATATTTTCATAGACATGTTTAATATAAACAATCTATTGCCATAATACAAATCAAAAACTTTATTCTAGCTTTTCTAAATGTAGCTCTATGGTCAATTACTTCACATCAATACCAAGATCAAATAGGCATAATACTAACAAGCAGTTTGCTTAATAATAGTCACCACACTAATTAACCCATCCAGAACATTCTTAATCAGACGTTATTTGTAATGTACAGTTAAGAGAGGCTTGGCAATAAGCCGTTCTATGCTAAAAAAGAAAATAATACCTTACTGATGGGGAGAAACTGGCTTTTCTATAGAACTGGACAGAATGTTTGCGCTGTCCTGGCGTTAACTCAATGCAATGACTATGCAAATAGGCACATGTCTGAACACTTCCTTTCTCTCTCCCAGCTCCAACTCTGGTGGAGGTGCTAATGAGAAGAGAAAAGGTCCTGAGGTAAGGAGTGAAAAAAAGAAAAGAAAGAGTCAGAAGAAAAACAGTGAGCTGCCTTTTAGAGCATATGCCAGGTTTGCCATTTAATAATTCCCCAACTTTTTAAAAGAAATGCTGCTGCCCACCTTGCTCATAGAATGTCTTTCTCTGTTTCCAAATCTCATAGAAGCTCTATTAGAACCTGATTTTACTATTTAGAAGTATTCTGATTACTGTAATTATTTCCAATCTGTTATTAGCCTTGGGACCTCACCCCCAACTTTTCTTCAATCAATAGCCAGTCTGTGAAATGGAATCAGAGCACTCCCGTGCCCCTCTCTCCTTTCACATGCCCTTTCTTCCTCCCCACCTATGTTCCCCAACATGGTTCCAGAGGCACTGACACAAAACCCCAGTACGATATGTTGGGCGATGCTTAAAGACACAGTTGGAATAAGTATAT